TCTGGTTTGTGGGTGACGGCAGCCTACGCAAGAATGGTCAGGGAGTGAAGGCAGCCTGCACTATCTTTATTCGGAGTGATGGCAACCTACCCTAACCTCGATCAGGGGAAAAAGGCGACCTACACTAGCCTCCTTTGGGGGTGATGATAGCGTGTTGCCTCGCTTGGGAGGAAGGCAGCCTAAGCTGGCCTTGTTTTGGGTGAGAGCAGCCTACACTTGACTAACTCCGGGGTGATGAGAAGCTCGCTTTAGAAACTAAAGCTTACGCAAACCTCGCTTAGGATGACGAAAGCTTACATAAGCCTCGCTCAGGATAACAAAAGCTCACACAAGCCTCACTTAGAATTACAAATGCTTACACAAACCTCACTAAGGATAACAAAAATTCTCGCAAGCCTCGATAAGGATAACAAAAGCTTACACAACCCCTAACTTAGAATAATAAAAGGCACACACAAGCCTCACAGTATAACAAAAGCTCACATAAGCCTCACTTAGGATTATAACAGCCCGCCTAAGCCTGACTCGTAAAAATATAATCATGCTCTGATCACAGAGACGCTGCGAATTGATAATGAAATGACGACCGTGAGTTGAATTAATTTCCTGAATGAAACCCGGCTGTCCGGCAAACACTGGAGGTCGAGCCTTTGGCACTGATTAGCCCGCTGGGCTTTATCACAACTATTTTGTCGACCCAGGGCCATTTGGCCATCGCAATGGTCATCTTTACCCCGGTCTTTTCTCTCCAGGTCATTGTCTGAGAGGAGGAATGGCCCTTGATATTGGCAACTGCAAAGCGAATATGGCCGTCTTTGTTTGCTTTTGTTGTTGGTCTTCCGAAATGGCTGGAAGAGGGAACTGAAATTTTAAATAAAATAGGATGGGGAACAAGGCCCATTGTGTGTTTTGAAAGTTAAGAGACGTGACTTATAATTGGGAAGACGTACAAGGTGAAGACGTACAAGGTGAAGATGTACAAGGTGAAGACGTACAAGCTGAAGACGTACAAGGTGAAGTTGTACAAGGTGAAGACGTACAAGGTGAAGACGTACAAGGTGAAGATGTACAAGGTGAAGACGTACGTGGTGATGTACAGGGTGAAGACGTACAAGGTGAAGACGTACGTGGTGATGTACAGGGTGAAGACGTACAAGGTGAAGATGTACAAGGTGAAGACGTACAAGGTGAAGACGTACAAGCTGAAGATGTACAAGGTGAAGACGTACAAGGTGAAGACGTACAAGGTGAAGATGTACATGGTGATGTACAAGGTGAAGACGTACAAGGTGAAGACGTACGTGGTGATGTACAGGGTGAAGACGTACAAGGTGAAGATGTACATGGTGATGTACAAGGTGAAGACGTACAAGGTGATGTACAAGGTGAAGACGTACAAGGTGGAGATGTACATGGTGATGTACAAGGTGGAGACGTACAAGGTGATGTACATGGTGATGTACAAGGTGAAGACGTACAAGGTGAAGATGTACATGGTGATGTACAAGGTGAAGACGCACAAGGTGTAGACGTACAAGGTGTAGACGTACAAGGTGATGTACAAGGGTTGAAAGAATTACGAGTCATGACTCTAGTTAAGTCCATACTCTTATTGCTATTTACTTGGTTATTGTTAATCAGGTTGCTTCGTTGTCTCCTTTCTACCGCCTTTATGGACGGTGGAGGCTTTGTTTAAACGGCTTCGATACTTAGTTCTTATCGGCGAGGGATCAGCTTTATTGTTCACTTAATAGGGCGTTCCATCAACATTATTTCGCCATTTGCTTGTTTGATAGCAATTTAATGTTACACTTTTTCGTGAGCCACGGAGTATATTTACATGTTGTTTCTCCCATGATTAATGGCTGCTAATTGATTATTTGTGTCTGTTAAGATAAGGTAGTTATTAGTAGAAAGAGCCGAGTCAGTATGACAATATAACTCTTCGAAGGGTTATGAAACAGACTAAGAACCGAGATAGGGAGACGTACTGAAGGGCCATAGGACATCGAACAAAGACCCGCAAGAAGTAAGGTCGTCGCTGTACCGATCATTTTAAGTGGATGAAGATTTTTTTTTGGTAACATCTTTCACGTTTTGTGACCTGTTCTACGAATGAAAAACTTCTATGTCTAATTATATTCAGCTATCTACTTATACCTCCTATCAATTTCACATTTTTTTATTCTATAATGTTCTTCTCTTTCCATTCTCTTTTAGTTTCTCCTTCAGCTTCCTTGCTCCTCATTCTTTTCCTCCATCCTTTAGAGTCAATCTTTAAAGCAGTTTCTGAGTTCCTTCTCCGGTCCAAGGAATTACAACTTTAATGTCACAGCTTCTAAGGCAAACTTCCATTAACTATTAACAGAGGAGGGTTAAAGCAACAGTGGTTTTTCGCTTTCTCTTCCCGTTGAGCTTAGAGCTCACCAATAAACACACGAGGAGGGTATGTATGGGATAGTTGTGTAGGAAGAAGAATGGACACAGGATGGGGAGAATGGGGAGTATGTAAAGGAATTGCCGCATAGAACATCGCGAATGATTCTAAGAGGAGAGGTCATGCGGAAGATATCCTTCAAGAGAGTTTATTAAGGAAGGACTGTTGAAGGTCGAGTGAAGGGATTGGAGGATTGTTGGGTTGGGGATTAGAGGATTGGAGGGTCAGAGGATTGGGGTCATGGAAAGGGTGTTATGCACGGGGCTGAGGAATAGGAACGCAAGGGGGTCGGATAACAGAGGCATGGACTGTGAACGAGGTTGGTTTAAGAGCGAGTGAAGGACGGGTTCTTGTGAGGGAGTGTTTATAACAGGGACAGTGGAACGGTCATGGGGACTCGGAATGGAAATTCCATATAAAAAAATTACTGAAGAGCTTTCATATGCCTGTGTAGTTGGGTTAGATAGATCCAGGTGAATCTGTTGTGAGTGGTAAGCCTCACCGAAATACAAGGTACGCCACTGACGCTTCTGTAGAGCTGTATATCAGAACGAGAGAGAATACAATTAAAACAAGGCAGTAGATAGAGACACCCTAAACGTATTCCTTAAAACAAAACTAATACATGAACACAATCTAAGTAGGACCACACACACAGGGCTAAAAAAACACATGACCAGAGAAAGGGAGATTCTCAGTAGAACATATATATATGCTGGAGTAACGTAAAATCAATATAGGATTCAATGCTATAAACGTTGATCTGATATTAAATCATTGTCGTTTACCTAGCAATGCCCCGGGGGAGGGTAAGGAAGTGAGTTTCTGAGGTGATCAGCCGTACTGTGTCAAGGTGTGGGTGATAGTGTGAATGGGGGCGCGCACATCTCGGATTTCTAATGGGGCAGGAGACATGAATGTTGGACATAAGAGGGATGGTAACCACAACCGCGCGAGCACAAACGGCACCGCTGCTTACAAATGACAGTTTGGTCTGGTTTACGATTAATGAGTAAATATGTATAGAAGCAAACGCAAATACAAAGGCGCTACAACTACAAAGGTGTATATGGATCTGAGAATTTACATTTCTCGGGTATCAGTAACTTTTACATGTATCAGTAACTTTTACATGTATCAGTAACTTTTACTGGTATCAGTAACTTTTACTGGTATCAGTAACTTTTACATGTATCAGTAACTTTTACATGTATCAGTAACTTTTACATGTATCAGTAACTTTTACATGTATCAGTAACTTTTACAGATATCAGTAACTTTTACATGTATCAGTAACTTTTACAGATATCAGTAACTTTTACATGTATCAGTAACTTTTACAGATATCAGTAACTTTTAGAGGTATCAGTAACTTTTACAGGTATCAGTAACTTTTACAGATATCAGTAAATTTTACAGGTATCAGTAACTTTTACAAGTATCATTGACTTTCAAAAGTGTTTCGACAAAATTCCTATCTGTCAAACGTTAAAAGCCAGTCTGTGTCGGCCCAAGTGAACTTCTTTAAGAAATATCGGCATTTACAGAGACCCCCCTCCCCCCTCCCTCTCCAGTGTGATTTTCAAAAAGTAAAGTCTTAAATATTTGCTTCCCATAGAGTTGTTCAGCAATTACTGTGTTTCGTAATAATACATTTTCTGAGAGGGGAAGAAATGGGAGTAAGAGGGCTGAAAGAGGGAATGGGGACAAGAAGAGGGGAGAAGAGCGGAAGGTGGAAAGGAGAGATAACATGGAAGAGGAGGAGGATGAGAGCAGGGAGAAGGGAGGGGGGAAGGGACCCGGGCACAGCCGGGTACTCCTTCTTGTATATTCATATAACTAACATATTATCTACTTTAGTCTCTTTATGTAATCGTTGATTGAGGTCAAATATTATATAAACCTTCCAGTGTAATATTATGATGAATCTGTCGTTAAATAACTATACACTTTACTCGAACAATTTAAACCACAAACACGACAACATATTTAACCAACAGTCCGTAAAATAAAGATGCTACTATTCACTGTCTAAAATGTTTTTCTATTGTTTTTCCTTCATGATAAAACTACGCTTCTCCTCCATGATATATCCATGAGATGAGCGGTAGTATATATATGTATCCGGGCGCCTGACAGCTGAGTGGACAGCGCTTCGGATTCGCAGTCCTAAGGTTCCGGGTTCGATCCCCGGTGGAGGCGGAGACAAATGGGCAAAAAAGTTTCTTTCACCTATATGCCCCTATTCGCCTAGCAGTAAATAGGTACCTGGGAGTTAGAGAGCTGCTACGGGCTGTTTCCTGGGTGTGTGTAACAAAAAGGAGCCCTGGTCGAGGACCGGGCCGCGAAGACGCTAAGGCCCGAAATCGTCTCAAGATAACCTCAAGATGAGAAGATAGTATAAAAGTTGCAAATACACACACACGAGACGGCAGCCGTCTTCACCAGGACGCTCACACTCACCCACCATCACGTGGGTCAGTGAAGGTGAATGTTGCCTCGAGGAACACAACCAGTGGGGGGAGAGAGAGAGCACCATGAACAGTACATCCATCAGAATTAACTAAACATTACACGTACAAGCTGTACATCCATCAGTACTAACTGAACATCCACCAGTAACAGTACATCCATCAGTTCTAACTGTACATCCATCAGTTCTAACTGTACATCCATCAGAACTAACTGTACATCCATCAGAACTAACTGTACATCCATCAGTTCTAACTGTACATCCATCAGAACTAACTGTACATCCATCAGTACTAAGTGAACATCCACCAGTAACAGTACATCCATCAGTTCTAACTGTACATCCATCAGAACTAACTGTACATCCATCAGAACTAACTGTACATCCATCAGAACTAACTGTACATCCATCAGAACTAACTGTACATCCATCAGTACTAACTGTACATCCATCAGAACTAACTGTACATCCATCAGAACTAACTGTACATCCATCAGTACTAACTATACATCCACCAGTAACAGCACATCCATTAGTACTAACTGTACATCCACCAGTAACAGTACATCCATCAGTTCTAACTGTACATCCATCAGAACTAACTGTACATCCATCAGAACTAACTGTACATCCATCAGAACTAACTGTACATCTACCAGTAACAGTACATCCATCAGAACGAACTGTACATCTATCAGAACTAACTGTACATCCATCAGTACTAACTGAACATCCACCAGTAACAGTACATCTATCAGTACTAACTGTACATCCACCACCACTAACTACATCCACCAGTAACTATACATCCAACAGTCACTGTACATCCAACAGTACTAACTACATCCACTAGTGGACCAACTACTAACTATACATCCAACAGTACTAACTATATCCACTAGTGGACCAACTACTAACTGTACATCCTTCACATCATTACACCATGATGAACATCGTTAACAATGACGGGAGAGGTAAGTCCTTCCAGTTGGTGAGGTCTATACGAACTCCAAGTTGGTAATGGACGTTTAAGCAATCATTGTTACCCACCCCATCTGCACGCTCCGCGCCCCTTGGAATTCCTCTCTAATGAGACGCTGTCTTCTTTCAGTATAAAAGTGACTCCAGGGGAACCCTTCCCCTCCGCTGATCCAATCATCATCATTGTCGTCATTAGAACGTTCAACGAGTCATGAAAATTGTATCCTTACAATAAACGCTGATATTATTGATCGCCTTTAAATATGGCTTGAAGGTTGGCAATATAAATATGTCTTTCCATATTCCCGTGGCTTGTAAAAGCAACAAAAACAATATTATGGGTTGGACACACCCAACTCTTAAAAACTTTTACTATGGCTGAAAAAAATTCATTCTGCATACTAAGGTCTTGAGTAGAACACGAGATCCTACGGCAATGATCATACAAGTACTGGGAAAAACAGGTCTACTGCAAATGTGGGCTGGTGAGAGAAGGGTTCGAGGCGTCTCTCTGGAAGAGACGGAAAACCGTGAAATCGTGCTTCTTGAAGTATGGTATTGTTGATGCGAGCGAAGGAAAACATCCAAAATATTAAAAACTTATTAGTAATTATTTACAACGTCAAATTAATCGAATTAGCGATAACCTGAGTAATCACTATTTAAAACGGCGACTAAGGAGTGGAAATAAAAATAAAAGGGAAAGGGTGTACTGGAAGAGAAATTAAATCGACCATTTAAAAGAAAGAGAATGAATATCAAATAAATTAGAAAGAAAACATTTTGCAATGAATATCGTTCAAGTTTTTAAAAGGAAAAAATGGCCGTTATGGGACGCAGCTCCTGGTGGTGGTGGTGACGATACTGAAGGAGTAAGATGGCTGAGTCAGAGGACGCAGACGGCTGGTGGTGACGATACTGAAGGAGTAAGATGGCTGAGTCAGAGGACGCAGACGGCTGGTGGTGACGATACTGAAGGAGTAAGATGGCTGAGTCAGAGGACGCAGACGGCTGGCGGTGACGATACTGAAGGAGTAAGATGGCTGAGTCAGAGGACGCAGACGGCTGGTGGTGGAGACGCCACAGTCTGATGATCTTGCGCGAAGAGGAGCGCAAGACAGTAGACAGTAAGAAATATCAAAGCATTTATAATTGCAAACTTATGAAATCTGAATAATTGCAATTAGCTGAGTGTACTATAGACCGTAACGCATATTGAAAAGAAAGAAATACGAAGAAATTGTAAGAAGTTTTGTATTAGATTAGTTTATAATGCAGTATCTTGCTGTTGTGTAATAGAGTACTTTATGATACATGATCTTGTTGCTGTATAACAGAGTACTTTAAAGAAGTGGTGTATTAATAGCAGCATCATACCGCTCTATAATGAGTAACTTTATAATGCAGTATCTTGCCACTGCAAAGAGGTGCTTTATAATGCAGTATAGATATGCAAATACTTAGTCAAAATAATTTTATTATTATACATACTAACTTCAGGCCAGCTCTGTTTCGTCTGGTGATCTGGAGCTTATGGTTCTCCTGACATAGAGCTTAATTTCGTCTGATTTGGTGGTAAATTTCCTCTGACCTGGAGTTAAAGTTTCGACAGACCTGGTGCTTAGTTTCATCTGACCTGGAGCTTAAGTTTCCTCTGACCTGGAGCTTAAGTTTCCTCTGACCTCGTGCATAGATTCCTCTGACCTGGAGCATAAATTTCCTCTGACCTTGAGCTTAAGTTTCGTCTGACCTCGTGCATAGATTCCTCTGACCTAGAGCTTAAGTTTCCTCTGACCTGGAGCTTAAGTTTCCTCTGACCTGGAGCTTAAGTTTCCTCTGACCTGGAGCTTAAGTTTCCTCTGACCTGGAGCTTAAGTTTCTTAAGGGAAAGTGTTATCCAGATGGTAAATTCATGGCTTCAGGTCATGGATTTTAACACGAAGCGTTGTGTAAATTATTCTACTTGTCCTCTCATCTAACACGTTTTCGAATTATAATTTAACAAATTCTTCAAAACAGGGACGGATTAGGAAAGATTTATGCACCGTAACAGTGCCGTTTTTTGGGGCAAGGGCCTTCGATCGGTTGGGATTGTACGTTTCTAATTAGGTAAAAAAGTTGCAATTTTTACGGAGAGGCAAATCTATAGGACAGTCAGAATTATAACCCTTGTAATAATTTATATTGCATTATATTAATCTGAAAAGGAAGTCTTACCCACCCGCAACCCGGATATACGGATCACACTTCCACTATCACTGACTAGGATAGTGGACTGAGAGGTGTACCCCGCCCGTGTATATACACAAAGTTTACTTCAATCCTGGACTGCGTTGGGAACTAGAGTAAAGATGCTGGTTGGCCAGTAAGCTACTGTGGTTGCCTTAATAATCTTCCAGAGGTTGATAGGCATCAAGCCCAACACTTAGAGCTCCTACAGCACATATATAGCTTGATGTGTTGGCAACGCTCCTCCTCCCATCTCTTTTATAAAGTAATCGAGCTAACGAGATAAGTTTGTCTTCAACGCACAAAGGCCATTATTCCAGCCGACGGTGGAGTATATCACGGGTTCAGATAATCCTCAAACGGCTCATGACCATTCCAACCGACATACACTTGGAATTTATCGCTCCAAACAATACATTAACTCGGAACCGCCCAAAATATGTTCGGTTAAAAATTGTGCATAGTTAGGAACGTGTTGGTGGTGCGCTGGCTGAGACGAATGCCAGTCTCCTAAGTTGAGCAATGGTCCACAAATTACTTGGGGGGAAGTTTGCCTTTCATCTTGGCAGCCCTGTCGCTTCATGCCGCCTGTTGGAGGAGGAGGAGGAGGAGGAGGAGGAGGAGGAGGAGGAGGAGGAGGAGGAGGAGGAGGAGGAGGAGGAGGAGGAGGAGGAGGAGGAGGAGGAGGAGGAGGAGGAGGAGGAGGAGGAGGGGGGGGAGAGGAAAAAGGATAAGTGGAGAAGAAGAAGAAAAGGGGAAGGAGAAAAAACAGGAAGAATAAAACGTGGAGAAGAACAAGCAGGAGAAAGAGAAGGAGAAGATGAAGAAAGAGGAGTGAGAGGTGGAAGTGACCGACAAGCTGGTGCAGACATTTCACCTACAATGCTTCCTTTCACTTGTGGTGAATATTCAGAGCAAACGGGATTTGGAGCAACACATTTTTCACGAGGAATAAGTTTACAACAACATTACCGGTGTTAAATTATTTAGGTCTGTATTTCATTCCTTGTGTCAGAAATGAACTTAGTTCTGGGTATATCTACAATGATACAACGTGATGTTATGTGTGTATTTACTGTTTGAATTTACCAGCTGCTAATTCCTGGAGTCCGTCTTTTTAATCATCGATATGACCTAATTATTTGGGTCATATCTACTACATATATATATTTATATTTCAGGCACACACCCATCCCCAGGATGCTGCGTGTAGCAAGTGTCCGATGAACAAGTGCTAGGTGACCAGGAGCATTATGTGAAAAAAACTCTGCCCATTTGTTTCTGTCACGACCTGGAATCGAACCCGGGCCCTTAGGACGACTCCAAAGCGATGCCCACTAGGCTGAGTGAGAGAGAGAGAGAGAGAGAGAGAGAGAGAGAGAGAGAGAGAGAGAGAGAGAGAGAGAGAGAGAGAGAGAGAGAGAGATTGTGTGTATGTGTGTGTGTGTGTGTGTGTGTGTGTGTGTGTGTGTGTGTGTGTGTGTGTGTGTGTGTGTGTGTGTGTGTGTGTGTGTGTGTGTGTGTGTGTGTGTGTGTGAGTATTTGTGTGGGTATGTGTATTCACCTAGTTGTGCTTACGGGGGTTGAGCTCTGCTCTTTCGGCCCGCCTCTCAACTGTCAATCAACTGTTTCTACTACTATTTTTATTCACACCCCCCCACACACACACCCCAGGAAGCAGCCCGTGACAGCTGACTAGCTCCCAAGTACCTATGTACTACTAGGTAACAGGGGCATAGAGTGAAACAAACTCTGCCCATCGTTTCTCACCGGCGCCCGGGATCGAACCCGGGACCACAGGATCACGTGTACAGTGTGCTGTTCACTCGGCCGGCCGGCTGTGTGTGTCCTCGTACGCGCAAATAAGTCAGAAAACACGTGACATTAAATATGGAATAAAAACATACAAACACATCCTTTTCTGGGTAAGTAGAAACAATTATTTTTATCCTAACGCATAAGAAACACATATCGTACAAATTCATTAATCATTCAATTATCACAATAAAAGCAGCGTATACGCATTTACACACTGAGGCAGGCGCATGTTCCTGTCCTTGCTGTGTTTGCTCCAGACAAATATATCCTCTTTTTAATTAGCTAAATAAGAAAAAGAATCTATTTAGCATTGAAGACAGAGTCGGAATGTCAGAGCCAACAGAGTTGAAGGCACTCAGGCTGACTGTTGACAAGTGAATATATGAGTGGAAGACAAACGCCGCTTGCTCTGACGATTTGGTATGCGTCAAATTGTAAGTGCTTTTCTCAAACCAGAAGCGTTCGAACCTCTCATCTCTGGAGGCGTATAATGAGGAGTAAAAAATAAATTAAAAAATTATGGTGTTTCTAATGTTGCTCGAGCATCATAATTTTAACGGCATGGTCGTCCGAGTTAAAAATTACAGTACATTGTGGGAATAGATTGAAAAAGCCAGACAATTATCTCATCAGACATTTTGGCCTTCAGAAGAAATTAGATTACTTTTTTTTCTATTATTCTCTGACATAATTGCTCGAAAGAAAGACAGCTGCAGTTGGCAAAATATTTTCCTCATTTTGTATCGTGGACGTAATACAGGCTACTCTAAAATAGGTTTATTTTGAAAGAGTCAGTGAACAGTCAGTAATTTAACCTGTGAAAGAGGTTAAAATATTGTATTTTCCGTGAATTGCACAATGTAGTGACTGTCTTGCTGGACACTTAACAACATAAGAATAAAAGATGCTGCAGAAAGCCTATTGGCCAATGCGAGGCAGCTTTTTAGTGATATCTTTTCAAACTCATATGTCTAACCTTCGTTTGAAACACTCCAGCGATCCCCCCGTCTATTACGTTGCCAGGTAACATGTTTTTTCTGAATCTAAACTTATCCAATTGATATGCATTGTTTCGTGTTAATATATTGGATTCCTTACTAATACCAACTTTGTTATTTACTTTCATCCATTTGTATTCTTCAGCCATAACTCCTAAGCCTTCTTGAGACTGTCAATTAGGCTCGGTTAATCTCTTCATAAGAAAAATGTCTAATTCCTGGGATTAAGTTTGTCACCATCCTCTGTATACGTTTAAGTGAGTTTATGTCCATTCCATAGTTCAGTGTTTAAATTTGAACTGCATAATTAAGATGCAGCTTGATTATTGATTGTCCCAACAAGGACAAGACAAATCTGAACAATAACGTTAGATGTCTTATTGCTTAAGCTTCTATAGTGAATCCAAGTATACTATTCACCTTATTCCGCACCATTTCACCAAACTTTGATTCTACTATGAATGTTTTACAAAAAATCACATTTTAACATTATTCTAGTCAGTTGGATGACTGTCACCTCTTATGTGTTTGAACAATGCATTTAGAACATATGCATATGAATACCAGTTTGAACGCTACAAATATTGGGCTATAATCATCCAGCTGATTAGAATGATGTTACAATAGTGGCCTTTTGCAAACCATTCACGGAGAAACATATTTTAAACATTAGCTATCAATTGTTAAACACCCATATATTGTTAGCATAAGTGCAGGAACAGATGAAGGATGAAGTAATGTGTTTTATCACTCGAAGATGGCGGAGTAAAACCTGGTGTTACCTAGCTGTTGATATTTAGCTTGAGGGATTGTAGATTGTGTGGGGCTACACGTGTGTACTGGCTGACGCCTAGCTACTTCACAGTACAGCTGAGAGTGGTGGCACTGCCACCTTCAGGGAGACACAGAAAACTAGATAAAACTAAAAAAACAGATAGGTACAGGAACCTAGAACATTGTTATAGGTTCGTGCCAATATGCTCTGAGATCCCTGGGGTAAATGTGTATTTAAGTTATAAAAGAGGTGGGTGAGGAACTAATTAGGCAAACTTAAGACTCAAGACTGGCCAGTTTCCTGTTCCAGTGCCTCAGTGTCAAGATCCAGAGAGGTGACGCTAGCTGTATCTTGGTCTCACCTCCGAAGAGCTGGATGACGTCTTCGAAGTGATTGTTATGTGTGTGTATGTTTTCTGTAAACTCTAACACACAAAATAATGAAATTAATAAATAACTGAATCACATTGTATAAAATAAAGGTAGAGGTGGTAGGAGAATAAAATTCTCAGGTGTTCAGGAAGAATCAACAAGATCTTCTATGAATACCCTTTATTCTCTTCTCTGAGACTATGGGTCCCTACACTTGCACCAGAGGTGGTACCCCTATATATATATATATATATATATATATATATATATATATATATATATATATATATATATACATGTGTGTGTGTGTGTAAAACGTGCCTCCTCTTAACACTTCTTATTAACCCAAAATTTTGAGGCTCGATAGCCCCGGAGAAGAAAGTTAAATAAATAACAATATGCATAAAACGTACATATTTCTTTTAAATTTGTACTAGTTTTCTCCTACTATCTCTCTTGTAACATTTATAAATATAACTAACAGAAGATTTGAATTAAATATTGCGTGACAATGACATAAAACAATTACGACCATTGACGTCTCACACCGATAACTGGAAAAAATATCTTCCAGAAACACCTGTGCACTAATTAGTGAGGTCAATTGCCGCACTCAACTTTCATCCTTAAAAATTACATTCACAATAAAATGAATGTAACAATCTAATGTCAATGCGTTGCAGGAGGGTTGAACTATTGGTCATGGAAATGCCACGGCGTCATAGCCATGAGGACGAGTTTCGACACAATATACTGGAATCAGAAAGCTTGACTCGCACAAATAATGTATTTGTATAGATGAAACATAAGGGAGACAGAATCCCTCCACCTTGTGTAGGAGATCAGTGTACCACGGGCTTTTTAAGGTATTTTATCATACACATCAATAATCACCACCACCATACACATCAACTGGTTGGATCACCAATAATTAACAACACAGTAGGCGAATTATGTACTCACCTAGTTGTGCTTGCGAGTGTTGAGCTCTGGCTCTTTGGTCCTGCCTCTCAACTGTCAATCAACTGGTGAATATGTGTAAATGTGTGTGTGTGTAAATTTTATTGAGATGAAAAATCGCAAACTATAGCAACAGCTGCAGCCCACAGACTACACAGATATTTTTACGCGACATATGATGACTCCACTAACTCCCACGAGTTAATATTTCACTAGGCAGTGTGTGGTAACTGTTATTGCTCATTTGATCCCTGAAGTTAACACATCAATTATGATATTAACCATAAAATAATTTATCGTGTGGAACAACAAATATAGTCATCCTTTTTTGGATGTTTATCGGTGAGGTGCGGGGGAAATATACTAATATATGGGAAAATGGGGAAAAAAGGTTGACTGGTAGGAAGAGCAGGGAAATTTAAGAGCTGAAGAAAGGAATTTTGGGATTAGGTGGAGATCTTCGTTGTCCGACTGTGTTAAGCTGTAACATGGCTCAGGGGTGGGGAGGGGGTGGGGAGGTGGTGGTATGGGGAGGGTGGGGAGATGGTGGTATGGGGAGGGTGGAGAGATGGTGGTATTGGTAGGGTGGGGAGATGGTAGTATGGGGAGGGAGGGGAGATGGTGGTATGGATGAAAAGGAAAAGTGTTATGAGAGAAAGTTAGAGATAAGGGAGCTGTCAGCGGCCAACGAGGAGTTACAGAAGAGAAGTGAGGACTGATGTTATTATGGGAGGGCGATGACTGGGAGTTAGGATGACGGAGGGGTTACTATGAGAGAGGACTGTGAGGGAGAGATGAGGGAGAGGTTACTTGAGCGTGTGAGGATTTAGTGGGCGAAAGAGTATAGTGAAGAATATAAGACAAAGTTAACAGGACAGGTGTCAGAAGAATGGAAGGAGAGAAAGAATATTAGGCGTAGAAGGGGAGACAATAAGACACATATTAGACCTGGAAAAGGGGGAAAAGTATAGTGGAAGGAATATTAGGCCTGAGGAAAAGGGGAGAGTAAAGGGGAGTAAAATTAGGCCTAAGAGAAGAGGAGAGTAGTCGATAAAGTTAGACTCTCTCTATATGTGAATAATAACTCACATAAAAATTATAATGTTTAAATAATTAGCCATGACAGCGCCTGACAGCTGGGTGGACAGCGCTTCGGATTCGTAGTCCTGAGGTTCCGGGTTCGATTCCCGGTGGAGGTGGAGACAAATGGGCAAAAAGTTTCTTTCACCCCTGATGCCCCTGTTATCTAGCAATAAATAGGTACCTGGGAGTTAGACAGCTGCTACGGGCTGCTTCCTAGGGGGTGTGTAACAAAAAGGAGATCTGGTCAAGGACCGGACCGCGGGGACGTTAAGCCCCGAAATTATCTCAAGATAACCTCAAGAAGATGACTTCTCATCGCTAAGAAATTTACTGATATTTGTGATCAAGTTCTCCAACATTTCAGTCTATTTTATTCTCCTGCCACAAATGACATTCTAATAATAATTTTAGTGCCATTACGTCGTTACTGTTCAGTTGCAAGTATCTACAAACCTGCATAACAGGAAGTGCTGTTATACACATCGTTGCAACACTCTATCGGGATCACCAGCATATACGGTGCCTCAAGATAGCCCTGCAATGAGCAAAGAAAGCACAGCAATGCCTCATGATAGCCCTGAAATGCACCAAGATAGCCCACGATGCCTCTGGACAGCCCCGTGATGTCTCAAGATAACAATGTGATGCACCAGGATAGACCCACCATGCCTCAAGATAGCATTGTGATGCACCCAGATAGCCCCACGATGCCTCTGGACAGCCCCGTAATACCTTAAGATAGCAATGAGACGCACCAAAATAGCCCCACGATACCTCAAGATAGCAATGTGATGCTCCAAGATAGCCCCACGATAGCTATGTGATGCACCAAGATTGCCCCACGATGCCTCAAGATGGTCCTATGATGTATAATAGCCTTTCTTTACTTCAATCTCTACTGCTATATCTAATGCCAGCGGTATATTCTTGAGTTTTTCTGCCTTCGCCCTGCAATATCATTCTCACACAGGATTCCCTGAGTCAACATTCCGCTAGGACTTTATCTCTGTCCTCCTGAGGTCCCTTTGTGATGGGATATGACGGCTTTAACTTCCCCGCGTGAATGCTGGTGGCTGCTCGCAACATTTTACTCTATGGAATATGTTTCTCATGGTTGTAGGTGATTTCTTGCCCGATATATATACTTAACATAAGGATAAACATGTTTTTGAGTGAGTATTTAATTTTGAATTTAGTGTAAATAATCATGTGTGTGTATATGTGTACTAAAGCCTATCAAACTTTCTTTTTCATTATACCATTCGCTGACAATAGTAAGATAAATGTCTGGTACATTCACTAACTGCAATAAGCAAGGTGGAAAACGTGGCTAAAATATGTTAGTATATAATTTTAAATAAAAAAGCATTTACTAATTTCTTGAAAATTTAAATTGTCAGTTTTTAATATTCTTGAACATTTCAAGTGATCTGAAAATTCTTGAATATTTTCATAGTCCATCAGATATTGATATTAATGCAGGAGGTTAGTGGCGTTGATGTGTGTTTGTGCAGGAGGTTAGTGGCGTTGATGTGTGTTTGTGCAGGAGGATAGTGGCGTTGATGTGTGCTGGTGCAGGTTAGTGGCGTTGATGTGTGTTTGTGCAGGAGGATAGTGGCGTTGATGTGTGCTGGTGCAGGTTAGTGGCGTTGATGTGTGTTTGTGCAGGAGGTTAGTGGCGTTGATGTGTTTGTGCAGGAGGTTAGTGGCGTTGATGTGTTTGTGCAGGAGGTTAGTGGCGTTGATGTGTTTGTGCAGGAGGTTAGTGGCGTTGATGTGTTTGTGCAGGAGGTTAGTGGCGTGGATGTGTTTGTGCAGGAGGCTAGTGGCGTTGATGTGTTTGTGCAGGAGGTTAGTGGCGTTGATGTGTTTGTGCAGGAGGTTAGTGGCGTGGATGTGTTTGTGCAGGAGGTTAGTGGCGTGGATGTGTTTGTGCAGGTTAGTGGCGTGGATGTGTTTGTGCAGGTTAGTGGCGTGGATGTGTTTGTGCAGGTTAGTGGCGTTGATGTGTTTGTGCAGGAAGTTAGTGGCGTGGATGTGTTTGTGCAGGTTAGTGGAGTGGATGTGTTTGTGCAGGAGGTTAGTGGCGTGGATGTGTTTGTGCAGGAGGTTAGTGGCGTTGATGTGTTTGTGCAGGAGGTTAGTGGCGTGGATGTGTTTGTGCAGGAGGTTAGTGGCGTGGATGTGTTTGTGCAGGAGGCTAGTGGCGTGGATGTGTTTGTGCAGGTTAGTGGCGTGGACGTGTTTGTGCAGGAGGTTAGTGGCGTGGATGTGTTTGTGCAGGAGGTTAGTGGCGTGGACGTGTTTGTGCAGGAGGGTAGTGGCGTGGACGTGTTTGTGCAGGAGGGTAGTGGCGTGGACGTGTTTGTGCAGGAGGTTAGTGGCGTGGATGTGTTTGTGCAGGAGGTTAGTGGCGTGGATGTGTTTGTGCAGGTTAGTGGCGTTGATGTGTTTGTGCAGGTTAGTGGCGTTGATGTGTTTGTGCAGGAGGTTAGTGGCGTGGATGTGTTTGTGCAGGAGGTTAGTGGCGTGGATGTGTTTGTGCAGGTTAGTGGCGTTGATGTGTTTGTGCAGGAGGTTAGTGGCGTGGATGTGTTTGTGCAGGAGGTTAGTGGCGTGGATGTGTTTGTGCAGGAGGGTAGTGGCGTGGACGTGTTTGTGCAGGAGGGTAGTGGCGTGGACGTGTTTGTGCAGGAGGTTAGTGGCGTGGATGTGTTTGTGCAGGAGGCTAGTGGCGTTGATGTGTTTGTGCAGGAGGTTAGTGGCGTGGATGTGTTTGTGCAGGAGGCTAGTGGCGTGGATGTGTTTGTGCAGGAGGGTAGTGGCGTTGATGTGTGTTTGTGCAGGAGGTTAGTGGCGTGGATGTGTTTGTGCAGGAGGTTAGTGGCGTGGATGTGTTTGTGCAGGAGGTTAGTGGCGTGGATGTGTTTGTGCAGGAGGCTAGTGGCGTGGATGTGTTTGTGCAGGAGGCTAGTGGCGTGGATGTGTTTGTGCAGGAGGTTAGTGGCGTGGATGTGTTTGTGCAGGAGGTTAGTGGCGTGGATGTGTTTGTGCAGGAGGCTAGTGGCGTGGATGTGTTTGTGCAGGAGGCTAGTGGCGTGGATGTGTTTGTGCAGGAGGTTAGTGGCGTGGATGTGTTTGTGCAGGAGGCTAGTGGCGTGGATGTGTTTGTGCAGGAGGCTAGTGGCGTGGATGTGTTTGTGCAGGAGGTTAGTGGCGTGGATGTGTTTGTGCAGGAGGTTAGTGGCGTGGATGTGTGTTTGTGCAGGAGGCTAGTGGCGTTTATGCTTGTGAAAGAGAGATGTGTCGTTGATGCACGTCTCTTGAAGAATTTGCATGTTTCGTATGTTAAATGGGTTACGGATTTTTTTCATCTATGTCCGTGAAATAAAACTGTATTCATGAACAATTTTCCCCTTGAGCATGATGACCATTTACGGTAAAGCAGAACAAGTCAGATGAACTGTATAATCTCACTAGAGATGATGTGTATGAATGTGGAGTGTTGGAAGGTTTGTATGTTTTTCTTGAATGTTTTCTTTGACTTCCAGTTCATCAGAGTTCGATTCCTGGGCAAAAGTTAGACGTTTAGGAATTTGTTCTTACACCCGCTTCTACAGTTCACCTAGCAGTAAATAGGTACCCGCCAGTTAGGAGACTTGTGGGTTGCATCCTGGAAAAAATCGGTAATTGGCCTAGGGACGACGTCGATAAGTCTAACAACCTTCCTGTCGCCGACAATAGGAAATCGTTAAATTAAATATATCTCATATTTGAGGAGGATTAAGTCGATCTCAAATGTTATTTTGCATTTTATATTTTGGATATCTTTTTTTTTTGTAAACAAAAATTATTTCAATATATCAACTAGCATTCATTTATGTTCATTAAATCAGGCTTGTATACGTCACAAATAATAATAATAACAATAATAATAATAATAATAATAATATATTATTAATCACAATAATCTTCGTTATAAGAGGCGTTGTCGTCCACTATCTCTAAATTAAGTTAATTTTCTCACACTTCAAAACGGATAAAAGATACTAACCCAACAACTCCAAGGTTCACAATCTGAAATTCTCAAATAGTCACTTAATCAAAATATTAATAATAATAATTACATTAAATTTAGACCCGTCAGTCACAGGCGCAGGCGAACCTTAAATTCTTCAAAGATATAAATGTTTGTTGCCACTGTGTAGCTGTCCAGCTTCTGGCCATGTAAGAATGAGCGCCTGGTTCAGTGCCTTCCGGCCACAGGACCAAGAAGGCAAACACAAAGCTCAAAACGGGCCTTTCATACCCCCCTCCAGAAAACCTCAGGCTGCTCGACTCACTTAACTCGTTCCTACTTGCTCTTAGAAAATACCTAGGAGAACTAGATTTAATTTCCTTGCCAGTGCATTTGCAATGAACAAGATAAATACACAAAGCTGTGTTTACTTTTCAAAAAGTGCAGAAATGTGTATTACTTGGAATGTGCGCTCCTGATGAAAGGTAGTGAGGGACAACACGGAGCACCTGCTTTGTTTAAGACAAAACATGACATTGTTTTGTTTAAGCGAAGCAAGACGTGGCTTTAAGTTAAAACAAACTTGTTTCGATTAAGATAAAAAATGCGTTGTTTTGTTTCCGATAAAATAAGACCTGGTTTATTACCTTAAAACATGACGTTGCTTTGTTATACAACAAACAATACGTTGCTTTAAGAAAAAATCAATACTCTTTCTCTTATACGCTCAGGTATATATATATATATATATATATATATATATATATATATATATATATATATATATATATATATAAAGAGAAAGTAAGACTAACTTGAAATGTGTGTTTTTATTATTTGTCCTTGCAAAATCAAGCTATTAGCCCTTGGACCTTGCCTTTCTAACGTATCTATTTATTCCTCTATTATGTCTACTGCATATATTGCTAACACACATACACACATTCCCAGGAAGCAGCTCGTAACCGGTGTCTAACTCCCAGGTACCTATTTACTGCTAGGTGAACAGACACATCAGGGTGAAAGAAACCCTGCCCTTTTTTTCGCCTCCACCGGGGATCGAATCCGGGACCTCAGCATTACGAATCCGAAGCGCTGTCCATTCAGCTGTCAGGCTCCCTGTATGAACAAGTTCTGTATGAACAGACTGTATGAACAAGTTCTGTATGAACAGACTGTATGAACAAGTTCTGTATGAACAGACTGTATGAACAAGTTCTGTATGAACAGACTGTATGAACAAGTTCCAACACTCTCATGCCAAATACGATGGCATTCTTTTAAACCATTCTTGGGATATTAAAAAAAAACTTGCAAAGATTTTGATCCTGAAAAATATTTTGTTCATGTTTAATTTCAAATTCGGAATATCGATAATATTTTCTGGAATTAGAAAATGTGTTATAAGCGTGTAGTTAAGTATATTCGTTGATGCATTATTTGGCAGACACAGTCGAGTTAAATTTAAAACTGGTCAAAAACCTGCCAGAAATCTTAAATTTAAATGAAAAAAAAGCCTTTCACGATGCTGCATAAGTGTCACAAGTTTCAAGTCAGTACGAGGAAGCTCTCTCATGAAGCCGCACGATAATCAATGTAACGTAATAAACACGATGCAACTTTATGTTATCCATTACCCTTCAGTACAGAACAATGCAATACAGAAGTGAGTCAAGCCGATAACATGCTACAAAGAATACACGGACTTGTATGAACAAAGTTATACACGATATGGCCAGGAAAAAAGTTGGAGTTATCCTCTTGAAAAGACTTAAGTCTATTTTAATTTTGCCCATAATTATTATGTTAGTAATTTAGGCAATCTAAACAAAGAAAGTACAATCACCACTAACACAACCACAACAACCATACCACTACTAACACTGACACTAACACAACCACAACCACCATACCACTACTAACACTGACACTAACACAACCACAACAACCACACCACCACTAACACTGGCACTAACACAACCACAACAACCATACCACCACTAACACTGACACTAACACAACCACAACAACCATACCACCACTAACACTGACACTAACACAACCACAACAACCATACCACTACTAACACTAACACTAACACAACCACAACCACCATACCACTACTAACACTGGCACTAACACAACCACACCACTACTAACACTGGCACTAACACGACCACAACAACCATACCACCACTAACACAACCACAACAACCATACCACTACTAACACTGGCACTAACACAACCACAACAACCATACCACTACTAACACTGACACTAACACAACCACAACAACCATACCACTACTAACACTGACACTAACACAACCACAACCACCATACCACCACTAACACTGGCACTAACACAACCACAACCACCATACCACTACTAACACTGGCACTAACACAACCACAACAACCATACCACTACTAACACTGGCACTAACACAACCACAACAACCATACCACCACTAACACAACCACAACAACCATACCACTACTAACACTGGCACTAACACAACCACAACAACCATACCACCACTAACACAACCACAACAACCATACCACTACTAACACTGACACTAACACGACCCTCACAAACGGCCCGTTACAATGCACCAGAACAATGGGATGTACCAGGAAATACACCAACAATAGCATTAACAAACAAAAAAGACACAAAAGCGTCCAAACAAACAGTAGCATGATGACGTGATCAATACTATCAGCAGTTGAGGATCATAAGACCATACATATATAATAGCCAATTTACGGTAATGTCGACCATACAGTCATACAGCCATTACCTTACTCCTAATATTGCCTTCGTATCTAGCGGTCGTTCCCCAATTGTTTGGCTGAAAATAATTATTTTCAACAGTAATGCCACACTGTGGCAGGACAAATGTCTCTTCGGGTATAACTACTGCAGTTTTAGTGTGGGAGGCTTGTTGCACGCCCTTTTAAACTAAAAGTTCATGACATTTCATTCGTTGCAAAGACAATTTGCATGTCTCGCCCCATGCTTAGTCTTCGTGTGAGCTGTGTTGCAAGCTTGTGTCATTTGGCTCTCAATGTGGCTCATCGCGTGTTGCATGTTGCAAACGCTGGTCACACAACCCTCCTCACTGTTGCATACAATACCCATAACTTATCTCATTATACAAAAGAGTTAATACTATATTAAAACATACACTAAACATTACTTTGAATACATACAATACACATTTGCAGATGAGAAACACAGCGGTCATTGTTATGATAGTTCACATCTTGCCTGGATCTAACTACTACATAAGCCAGGTTCACTTAACACAACTCTCAGCGCACCTGCAAAATTACAAATCTAATGTATATCAGCATATATATATACTATGAATACCAGCATTTATACTATGAAAACTGGCATGTATAATATGAATACCAGCATGTATACTATGAAAAACAGCATGTATACTATGAATACCGGAATATATACTACGAATACCAGCATGTATACTATGAATACCAGTATCTATGCTATGTATACCAGCATCTATACTAAGAATACTAGCGTCTATACCAACATCTGTACTATGAAACAACGCGGAGCTGCTCCGGGTACCCGGGGCAGACCTTGAATAATTTAAAAACCAAGCATGAATAACTGAAGTTTACATTATATATTTATATTTCTAGCGTTCTCCGTGGCTGTAGAGTATTGCGTACGGGTAAATATACATGTTAGTGTTAATACACAGCTGTACACAGGCACCAACACCCTCGCTTCTGTACACACACACACACACACACACACACACACACACACACACACACACACACACACACACACAGTGTGTTTACAGTGTATGGAAGAACTTAAGAGGAAAAAAGTAGAGGAAATGATGGACCACGTCACATGGAAATGAAAGGAGGCTGAAGCAAGGAGACTGAAGTATTCAGACTGAAGCAAGGAGCCTGAAGCAAGGAGGCAGAAGCAAGGAGACTGAAGCATGGAGACTGAAGCAAAGAGACTGAAGCATGGAGACTGAAGCAAAGAGACTGAAGCAAGGAGACTTGAAAAGGACAAAGGAAAACGGGAATAGATGCAACGGAGCTAGGAACGAATACATAAATGTAAGAGTATCTGAAAAAAATTACGAGAACGATATTGATATAAAAGAAAATAAACCGAAACTACTACAGTCATATCAGACGGAAATTGACAATGAGAGACCACGT